TTTCATATTTATGGAAAGTATGAAATTGGTTGAACTTCTCCCCGTAGGGGTGGAATTTTATTTTGTGCATTTACCTCACGGAGGGAAGCAGTTCAATGGGATAATAGTATCTGCTCTGAACCAGTGCTAATGGCCTACCCCTCGGGGAGCTTGAAGAATTCTCCCCCGGAGAGTCAGCATACAAATGCTCTTCCAGGCGGCTCCTGTGCAGCCCTTTGGTGATTAGTCACGCTGGGAGTGGGGAGAACAGACAGTAATGTGAATGCTGGGGGATGGTTTTAGCCTTAAAACTGCAACTGAGACCAGGAAAGGTCTTGGTGGTGCGCTGTGTATTGAGGCTGCATTGGGAGAGGGGACACAGCATTAAAGTTAGAAAAGCTTTTGGGATCCTCCACTCTCCTTCCCAGGGGGACAGTGCTATGATGTTCTGCCCAGAGCAGTTTTAATGTTGTATGCAGTGTAACTTCTATCCCTTCCCTTGGGCAAATGCTTTATAGTCTGAGACATCTGACTGTCAGGGTGTTTTCATGTCACCTTGGCCTACTTATCTTGCATTTATTTTCCATCCTTTGCATGTAGCTTGTGCAATGTCCTCTATAGAGGTTGGTGAAACATCCATCATGAAAGGTCTTTTCAACAACACACACTTCACTTTGAACCCCCAACACGTCTATATAACTGTATTTCACACACTTGATAACTAGACACAGGCTTTAAGTGCTACGCAACTAGATTGGGGTCAGGTTAGACTTTGGGCCCTTCTAACTCCAAACCCTGTGTGCAGTACCCAATCCCATGTGGTTGTAGAGCTGTAGGGAAGGGGGTTAAGGCTGGAAGAGTTTGAGATGCTGAGAACAAGTTGGAAGGTGGGAAGCCCCAGGGTCTATGGTTGGTTGGTCAGAGAAGCATAATCAGCATTTGCATTCTCTTTTGCATAGTGCATTAGAAATACCTTAAAGAAAGAAAGCATCAAGAGGCTGAGGAGCAGAGGGGCCTTCATGTTGGGGATTTGGGGTGCAGCCTATGATGAAAGGCTGCATTTTTTTGACAAGTCTTATCCCAAGGGGCAGATGAGAGGAGAAACACAGCAAAAGGACTGGAAACTTCCCTTAAAAAGAAGGAAATGGCATGTCTGCCTCAGATGAAGGGGCCCTGGGTCTTTTACATTGTAGTGCCATCGGGTTGGGAATTTTCTAGGACAGACACTTTTTTCTCTAACATGTTAATATTACAAAGGGATTTGCATGCTCCAAGTCCTAGCAGGACAGGGGTCATACAGCCTGCATGCTGGCTCCGGCCCGTGGAGCCATATGATCTTGGCCCACAGACATGGGGCTTCAGCAACTGAATTGACCCAGTTTGAGTCAGAGGCAGGGGGGCACATAGAGAGAGGGACCCAGCTGCCACCACTACTGCTAGTACGGCTTTTCCTCAGAGTGGCATGGGGAGAGTGCTTTTCTGGGCAGCAGGGGAGTTTTGGCAACAGTCACTTTCCCCCGCTGCCATAGGGACAAGCACTGGCTATGACCACTCTTCTTGTGCCAGCACGGGGAAAAGTGGTGCAATGGGTGCTATCCCTCTGCAGCTGCTGGAAAAAAGGGTGACAGCAACTGGGTCCTATCACCCACCTGTCACTCACCAGTTCTCTGACCCAAGCTGGGTCAGTGTGGCTCACAGCCTGAAAAGATTGCTGATCCCTGTACTAAGAGGCTTGTTTGGAGAGTTAGTAAAGCTGTGAGGGCTGGAGCCTGTGGGCTCTGTGAAGCTTCAAGGGTACTGTTCTAGGCTGAGTTTCTAATCCTGTTACAGTTCCAGGTGGGTTTGATTTAAGTAGGATATCCCCTAGGGCACCTGTTACATAGGATGTTGGCAGCAGTTCTGGGCTTTGGCTGGAAAGGTAGAAAGCATAGCCAGGCAGTGTGTCCTGTCTAGCCAGCAGGGCATTTGCCCCTTCCCCTCTCTCTCTGATGTGTGGCCACTGTAGTCAACCATTCCCTCCCTTCCCCCCTCCTCCCCAACATGCATTTGGCAGAGGAGGATGAAGGAGCATAGCAGAACAGGCCTGGCCTGGTTGACAACAGATGGGAGATGCTATCAGCAGGCTGGGCTGGGCTGGGATGAAAGGGTTTCAGCAACCCAGCTTCTCCCAGCTCTGCTTCTCTTTTTATCATTGTGGTAACATTGTTCTTGGGAGAACACACCTGTTGGGAGCTGAGCCTCATACAGACCCTTTCCCTCTGCAACTGGCAGCACTTGAAAGTATGACTCTCCCCAAGCTAAGTGTTCCTCTCATCTGCGATGGAAGGATGGGGCTGGGCTTATGCTCTCCCTCAAATTCCAGCTTTGCCAGTGTAGCTAGCTCACAAGTCTCTCTAGAACAGGAGTTTTCAACCAAGGGTATGCGTACCTCTGGGGGTACTTGGGATGGCCCAGGGGGTACTCGGCACTTCGGCTGTCACCGTGCTGCTGCCACTTCTGCCACTGTTGCGCCACCGGCACACTCTCCAATTGGCTGCGGGGGACACCTCTCCCAAACCCGCCGCTCATCAACTGGCTGCCGGGGGACTCCTTCCTCCTCGACTGGCCACCAGGGGTAACCCAAAAAAGTTGAAAACCCCACGCTCTAGAAGGATGGCATGGTATCCCCATTCTTAGCAAAGAATGCTAGGATGGGTAGAGGATTTCCTTGTGTAAGAGAGGGGAGAGGGAAAAGGAGCTGATTAGGGCATGTGCCGCAATATCATGGAGGCTGTGCCTCTATCATGGCTGGTGGAATCCCTGAGGTGATGCCATACAGCCTATCCATATATTTCCAGGCACTGGCTCTTCCCAATAGCCTGAAACTTACCTTCGCTGCCTTTTTTGAGAGTTTGGCCCTCATTACTGGGAGTGGGAGAGACCCTGCTGCTGACATATATCAAGTTATCTCTTTCTCTGGTGTTGCAGTGCTGCCTACTTGCTCCCCCTTGGATTTTCACTGTGACAATGGGAAGTGCATCCGCCGCTCATGGGTCTGTGATGGAGACAATGACTGTGAAGATGATTCTGATGAACAGGATTGCCGTAAGTTAACCCCTGAAGGGGAGGATGAGTTGCGGAGAGAATAGATGTTGCCCTGGCCAGCTAGAGTTGAAACCCAAAGGGTTTAATCAGTGATATAACTTTGTTGCAGGACCATAAAAACATCTTCCCCAAGTCAAGACCCATGGCTCATGTAATCCAGATCCTGCCTCTAGCAGAGGTCATTACCTGATGCCTCAGAGGAGGGTGACCCTCCCCCGTTGCACCTGGCCGATTGTGCAGCTCTGCATCATGGGGGAGGGGTGGCTTCCCTTTCCCAGCTGGAGAACAGCTTACACCCTGCTGCCTCTTAGTTAATGTCCCATGAAACACTTCCCCTCATTTCCCAATGAGCCAAGCTTCTCATGTGCTTCTCACAGAAATGCCTACCCTGTGCTAAATCCCACTGAGCAGTTTGTCTGGCTGGTTTCCTGTGGTCTGACTGTTGTGTGAGGCTGTCATCATAGTCCTCTGCCTTCAGACCAGTTTCACCAAGGAGAGTGTTGACACTGGCCTGGCCAGAGACCTGGTCATATAGGAGCTTGTCACACTATCCTCAAAACAGCCCTGCTTATACCACACTATCTCTGGTAGTACCTGGGATGGTCTCATGCTACTTAAACCAATTGAAGCTGAATGGGATTATACTCTGACCCTTACAGATTGGCTCCCTCCTTCCCTCCCCTTTTGTATAGGGACGAGAGAGGTTAGTTGGGGTCAGCTTTCATAACTAAAAGGTTGGTCACTGATTGAATTGCCCCTCCCCTCTCCCCTGGTTGTCTGTTGCCCCATCCCAGTGACTGCTAGTACCATGCTGGAGAACCGGCCTTTCCAGCCTTTCCTGTGTTAACAAAGGTCATAACCCCTCTTGAGCTGCACCTGGTGTTTGGAACTGAGTTTTTTGCTGTCTCTCGGGCTCTCAGCTCCCTGATACAATGTCATTTTGCTGTAAGCTTTCAACTGTGGAGGAAGGAGTGTGCAAGGGGCTCTGTGTGCACACAGTCCTCAATGCACTCGGTGTCTGCTTCTTCTCTGGACAGCTGCAGAGGGTAACGCTCACCGATCAAGTGCCTCATGCCAATTTTTCATTCCTTACCATGGAAGAAACACCACTTGACGGGAATTCCACCCCAATCTCTCCCTTTGTATGGAGCGGGTTGGTAGGGATTAGAGTTCCAGGGTGTTGATTTTTGTGATGCTTTGAATAGGATAACCAAGTCCAGTTTTTCAGTTTCAACTTCTGTGCCCTGTTCTTAACTCATTAATAGGGTCAGCCCACACTGCCATTTTTCAGGGCAAAGATTTGTGGTTCTGCTGTTTGGTAGCTTAAGGTAATAGTCTCTGGTTCCATTCTGTATTGTGTTTTCAGGCAACAGAACAGGAGGGCAAGAGTGATGGTTTTATTGAGAAATATGAGTCTAAAATCAATGTTGCTGAGGGATGCTGCTGGCTTGTTTTTTCAGCCTAGGAAGGGTTAAACACCATACCTCTGATGTATTCAGGTCCTTTCTTGAGAGCATCACTTATTGGTTGCACCTAGTGATCTTCAGCAAACCTCAAAACAAAATGGTCCAACATAAATTCAACAATTACCTTTCCCTAGCTCACGCTGTGCTTTGAAACTGGGCTGGCTGGTTCTTCAAGGCTTAGACCTTCCAGCTACAGACCCTTTCATAGATTTCATAGACATCAGGGCTGGAAGGGACCTCAGAAGATCATCGAGTCCAGCCCCCCGCCCAAAGGGCAGGAAGTCAGCTGGGGTCATAGGATCCCAGCAAGATAAGCATCCAGTTTCATCTTGAAGGTGTTCAATGAAGGCGCTTGAACCACCTCCTTTGGCAGGCTGTTCCAGACCTTGGGGGCTCGGACAGTAAAGAAATTCTTCCTTATGTCCAGCCTGAAACGATCTTGAAGTAGTTTGTGACCATTCGACCTCGTCATCCCTTGGGGCGCTCTGGTGAACAAACGTTCCCCCAGATGCTGGTGGTCACCCCTGATAAACTTGTAGGTGGCCATCAGATCACCCCTAAGCCTGCGCTTTTTCAGGCTAAAGAGCCCCAGGGCTCTCAGCCTGTCATCGTAGGGTCTGCTTCCCTGACCTCTGATCATGCGTGTGGCTCTTCTCTGGACTCTCTCAAGCTTCTCCACATCCTTTTTGAATTGTGGAGCCCAAAACTGGACACAGTACTCCAGCTGCGGCCTCACTAAGGCCGAGTACAGGGGGAGAATGACGTCCCGGGATTTGCTTGAGAAGCATCTATGGATGCAAGCCAGCATTTTGGTTGC